GGGGGGGTGGGCGGAAGTGAGGAAATAATGCTAGTACCGCAACCAGGTTCAAAAATTGGCAAGCAACAGCTTTTAAGATAGCTGTCTTCGGCGGATCGACCAGAAGGCTGGTCGCAATCATTTTGCCGAAGCTGTCGTAAACGAATTCTTTGCCCCGACAAACTATCGGCTTGATCGAATATAGAGCTTCAATTTCAGTGGGTTTTTTCATCAACCGCATTTTTAAAGTTCCGGCGGGATTCACAGCCCAGTCGTTGCGCTGCGTGATCCAGGACTTTAGAGGCTGAGATGCCTATGCAGTATTCAGTACCCTGTCCATCTTACGGAGGACTCAATAAAGTGAGCTCTGTGGTGCTGTTGAAGTCAGCTCAACGAACGGAGAATTTTGAATTAACTAAACTTTAAGGGCCACTGTACTTATTAATGCGATATCGTAGCGGAAATTACCGACGGCAGGCGGCGGGATGGCGCGATCCTACGCAGGCAATTAATTTATTTCCAACGTTATTGTAGAGACACTCTTCGCCTTAAATTGCCATTCTAATCGGAGTAGGTAACCCGTTAGCGGTAGTCTTGGCGTAAGGAAATGAAGCCTTTGTTGGCTATGCCTTCCTCTAGACCCCAACTTCAGCAAATATTTTTGATGCGCCCCCAACATCAAAATATTCTTTTTCTTTGACTGACCCATCATGGTTTTCCGCTAAAAAACGAAACTTGAGTTAGCACCATCGAATCCACAAGCGACATGTCTTTGCAACTCAGAATATTACTCCTCAGTCTCTTCCTGGCGGTCGCTGCCGGGGCTGGCGATACTTGGAGCAAGTGGAAGAACCACAACGATATTGTCGGTTTCCCTCAACCCCAGGCTTCAGACTATGAGCAAAACAAAACGCGGCTGTTCAAGCCCAGGCTTCACGTTTGGGGCGGATGTCTTCCCTACCCAGCCGTAGACTCACAAGGCTACCTCGGGTGAGTCTTCTCACCCCATATCCATCTACCTCTTCTGTCCTTTCTTGAGAATTGAGATCGAACTCTTCCATCCAAGCGGCGCACCATATTCTAACGAATACGTCCTTTCAAAGCTCTGGACTCAAACCAACAGGCAAGAAAAGCGGCGACTGTTGGGACACTAGTCAATCCGGCCAGATCTACGCCCGAACGGGCTCCAGCCATGGCCGAGATGCCATCATGTACGCCTGGTACGAACCCAAAGTCCGTTGGGCCAAGGGCAACAGCAACGGCCATAGGCACTACTGGCGCAGCGTCGTCGTCTGGCTGACCCAGAACGGTTGCGACTTTGACAACGTTGCGGAGCTCGCGATGGCTGGCATCAGCTACTCCACCGATGTCGACGCCTACGATACCTCGATCTCCGGCAAGACGATCTGGACAGGTGGAGATGGCATGAGCCCCACCGTTTCCGACGGGAAACACACGCATCCGCTAGTATCATCATGGGGGAACAAGAACTTGGGGCCGTCGGATGTCGGTGTGGAGGGCACGTTTTCGCAGCCCCTTATCGACTGGACGTCGCTGAGCCAGCCTGCTCAGGATGCGCTGAACGGCGTTACTTACGAGCACACAAAAGTGCCCTTTAGCGACGTCAACTTGCAACCCGCACTTGACGCTGCTTACAACGCTGGATTCTATCATGGTCGTGCCTTTGACGACTGTCGTGATGATCGGGAGCCGGTGCAACAAGGTGATGGCAAGAATGAGCCATTATCAGCTATGGATGATAAGGACGACAAAGGTAAATCCCGTCTAAGGCGGCGATTGCGCTATTATTAGCTAGGATGTTGCTGATTTCTTGCCTAAATACCCACTTACCATTGATATAATCCTAGAAATACCCCCAGCCGAATAGCAAAACTCTCATCTATGAGCACTTTGATGAGAAGGAGATGAGTTCTAGACTTTTTGTTCAGTTGCAAGTTGAGATGTAGCTCAAAATTTGAAACACATAAGGTCTTTGGAGGTGTCCCTAGCTGTAATATCTCCAATATGGATGGTTCTCCATTTGCCCTCCCTCATCAAAGTCAATCACCAAACCCTCGGGAGGCTTTCCGAACTCTCGATCTCTCCGTCTGTTCTCCTTGATTGTCATAATTGTCATGAAGGCGCTGCCAACACCGGTCCAACACGTGGCTGCAAAAAGTGTCCAGAATCCCTTTTTGTAGGCTGGACCATCTGTTGACTGGAACAGATATCCAGTGGCAATGCCCATGGTGCTTCCGAAAGACTGGAACAGTCCGGATGCGATTCCTTTCTTGATATCCCCACAACAATTGCTTGTGATATTACCAACACTCAACGTGACTCCCGATAGGATTCCAGTCAAGATCAAGAACGTGGCGCCGTATCTCGCACTTGCCGCTGTATGCGGTAGAACAGCTAACAAGAGGTCGCCGGTAGCTGCGACGATGGAACAGATGACCAGCAGCCCCGAGCAGGACTTGAGTCTATCGCTCGCGTATCCAACCACGAATACCATCACGAAGGCAACGCAGTACGGCGGTGCTACCATCAGCTGAGCCTTGACGTTGTCGTATCCAAAGGTTGCAACGATGATAGGGGTGAAGGTCGCAATCGTGTAGGTCTGAAGTACCTGGCCCATGTAGATGAATATGTTCATCCACAGTCTCCAGTCACGGAGTTGGTTGAGAGTAGTTTTCCAATTGATCTTGCCGTGAGTCCGGTTACCGTCCTGCATCATGCGCCAGGTGGCGACATCGCGCTCTCGAGGGGTGAGCCATTTTGTGTTGTGAGGGCGATCGGGAAGAACCCAGACACAAAGCATACCGATGAGGATAGTAAGAAGGCCCTCAATGAGAAACAGAGCTTGCCAATGCTTCAAGATCGGATTAGAGATGTTCGCAACTCCGTATGCAACCCATCCTCCAAAGGCCCCAGCCAAGGGTGTTGCGGAAAGGTAGATGCTGATGCGACGACCCCATTCCTGTACCACGTTAAGCGATGTCCAAATTCGACGGTTATTGAGGGTAGCCTACCGCTCTTGGATAGAGTACTGTGGTGAGATACGGAGCACCACTGATGAAACATGCTTCAAAGATGCCCAAAAAGAACCTAATAGCATACATGCCTCCTGGGCTGCCTGCGACTGCTTGTAGAGTTGCAAAGACTCCCCAGATGACCTAAGCTCTTGTCAGCATTTGACACGAGAAAGAACTTCCTTTCCTGTGATAAGTCTTACCATAGCTGTCGCTAAGTATAAGGACGGCCGGATGTACCGCATCCCGATGTTGGTAAACAGATCGGCGATGCATGTTCCCACGAAGAACATGCTCACAGCTAATGAGAACTGCTTGGGAGAGAACCCGAGATCCTCACGAATCCCCATCAGGGCTGCGTTACCCAAAGCCCCACGATCCAGCCATGTAAACATGTAAAGAACCTAGTCCGCTGTCAACACATCGCCACGAATATGAGTGAGTCCTACATAGCCACTCACAAGCAGAAATGGGGGCAGCCGCATGTCAATCTTTCTTCTCACTGCTTTGACTTCCTCTGGCGTCACGGGAGGATCAAGGTTGTTCATCCGAGCCACGATGTCGTCCTCGTCAATTGGCACCGGCTCATTCTCTACACCAGCTCGCCCTCCCTCTTCATCCTCTGACACACTCTTGTGGCCGAGAGCCGTCGCATTGGATTTGGTGTCTGACATCTCAACTCGACGTATGTTATGGTAGGGTCTTGAAAAAATAATACTCTTTAAATTAGGAGAAAGAAAAGACACTCTAGTGAAAATAATGGCTTGAAACAAAGCTATTGGGCAAGTCAATATGGTATTTCTGGGCTGTATGTCGTCACTTTTCCGTTGGGCTCGCGGTCTCGAATCTCGGTGGTCGATAGCCGTTGGGCCACCTGCTCCCCCGCTCGTTAGTAGCTGTAGCAAGCCGATGCCGCAAACTTGGCGCACAGGAACAACAATGAGCTTGATTCGCACGATAAGCCCCAGTCGATTAATCCACGAGTGTTGTTTGGGTTACAACGTCGATCACTTCCGTTCAATCTGCCACGTGCTTGAGCGGGGAAAGCAGCCGGAACCAAGCGAAGCCATTCCGAAAGCTTGGCCGCCGGTGGCAGTCGGCGGTCATCAGCCCGAGTTTACGAGCTTCGGCTATCGATCCGAGAATCGCATGGGTAAGCATCCGAACGATGGAAGTCCGCGTTTTGTAAATAAAGCTTGGATGCAGATTCGAGCTCGTAGCCTTTGCGACCGGCCCGGTCTTGGCTTCGAGAATGACGATTCCGTCTTGCTTTTACGTATTTAATAATAGGGCATTTCGTATTGGTCAGCGCCATTGATCCGAGGCCCATGGCACCCCACGCCGGCCCGGGCCCGGACCCCACTTAGGTGCTCCTCGGACTTACGCCGAATGCGCCGGCCTGGTAAAGTGCGCCGCTCGTCGCTACGAGACTGTCTGTGAGTTAGTTGGGGTTCTCACTTTTGAAGCCATATCTTATGACTGCTATCTGAATCTCATCTGAATTACGTTGAGTCGCGACCATGAAAGTCAGTCATTGTCGGCGAAAGAGCAACGGGCCAAACACACTCATGGGAATTCTAGAGAAATGGTGCTGCATCAAAATCTGAAGGATCATAGATAATATTGTTAACAATTCTAAAGCGTAAACTAATTTCCAATCCGGGGTCTACGAATTTCATTGCTTAGCCTTTGCCTTGAGCTCTCCACGCTCCTTCACTAAATCGGCGATGCCGTCGCCTAAATCAGTGCCCAGTGCCTTGAATCCCTTGATAACGCCTTCGCGGTCTCCCTCGCCCAGCTCCTGACTCATCTTGAACTTTCCACCAAGCCTGTCGATCTTGATCTCAATGCCGATAATTGCCATCTTCGATAGTTCAATGTAGCGCTCCGGCGCATCAGAAACCTTCCAGGGTCCTGGCCGGTCACCTTTGCCCGTGTAGCCCATTATCGAGGTCTCGCTCATACGCGAGAGGTCGTCGATCTGCTTTCCCAAGAAGTTCTGGGTTTCCTCGGTCTTGGATTCGTAGAAAATCTTTGCGCTTCCATAAGCCTGAACGGCAGCATAGTTCCAGGTTGGGACGACCTTTGCTGTTGTCGGTTTGGTTTCGGTGTAGAACTTCGGTGTGACGTAGTGGTGTGTCGGCGCGGTGAAGAGGACCATGACCTCCTGGTCAAGGACATTCCCGGTTTCCGTGCGGCCTTCGGCCGACAATGACTCGATTATGGCTTTGCTCTGCGGGTTCGCGCGCGCAAGGTGGCCTCGCAGGACGCCCAGCTCGGTTTCGCTAGCATCGTCTTCGACATCGAGAACCCAAGGGATGTGACTGGACTGGATGAGAGGATATGTGGGGGAAGAGATAGCTGTGGTGAGGATGCCGAGGGGAAAGTCGCGGATGAGCTTGCGAAGTGCAGGTATGCTCTGCTCAGCGTGAACAGCGCGGAGATACATCTTGTGCGTAAATGACAGGTAACTCTGACTCTAAAGGATCGAAAGATTCTATGGAGTATTTTGAAGGGGTTGAAAAGAGGCAATGTTGTCAAAAGGCTGAAAAGCGATGCATGCCACTCTAGCGCATTGCCTCGGGCCGCCGATTTTAATAGCGCTCGGATGCTTGCTCTAACAAAAGCGCCATGTTTTTCAAAGGGCGCGCGGTCCACTAATTATGGTTCTGTCGGTTTAACTGACTTGGGTATCTTTCGCCTGGCTGTTAGCATGTTTGGGCGCCTCCAATTCATCATTTTACGTACGCGTACAACGGCATTGGTTAAGCCGTTGCATATGACCAAAGATGACACCGCTCGCAGCTGAGTGGCTGCTGCATTAGAGCGATTGAAGTCATTTCTAGTTACAGCATTTCAATCATCAATTCATTGAATATCACCTCTTGTTGGAGCAGGATGCAATGCACATATCTCCCGAAGATTGCAGATATCTCCGCAGAGGCTATCTTCGCTATCTTTGAAGCGGCTTTCTGGTTGGTCGGTCACGCATGCTTATCTACGTACTCTTCTCGTGAGGCTGCCTTTAAGCTTCTTGTTAGAAAGCAAACGCAGGCCTACTTGGGACACAACATTCCTTTCCGGCAACTCCAGGAATGGATGCGGGAGTGGGTGCGGGAACTTTGCCGCTTCTCCGCCGCTCATAACCGGCCCGGTGGTGGATCCCGGTCCCACCAGCGGCCGAAGCGGCATGGTTTCCGCCGGTCGGATCGATGCGGCAGCAACGATTAACCTCTGTTAAAGGCGCTATGACATCCTTACTGTGAACTTCAAAATTTGAGAAGAATCCAAGATGAGAACAAGTAAACGTTCAAGTTCAAGCACGAAGCACGCTGATAAGATTGCATCAGAACTCGTGTGATTATTTCTTGTCTTTTGTGTCATTATCAATTACAGCCCAGTTCTCATTTGATGTGGTGATTTGCCCGTTCCATACCTTTGATATGTCATAGCATCCGGTGTGATCAGTTCACCCTAGAGATCTTGAATCCTCCAGGAATCCTCTTCTGGAAAACGCCTTCGGGGTCATATTGGGATGCAACACTGCGAATGAAGTTGACGTTCGCGTCGCCATAGGTCTTAATAGGGTCCTGGCTAGGATCGGCATAGTTGAGGTAGCGCCAGTTCACGTTGCCATCAACGGAGACAGCAAAGTCCTCGATTCTTACAGCTGCTGCAGCCATGTGGGCCCGAGCAACGGCTTCCTGAGCCTCAGTGTTGATAGTCACGAGGCCGAGCCAC